AAATGCCGGTGCTTATAAAGTACAGCCACTGACTAAAATAGAATTCTCTGAGTCAACAGCTCCAGAACGTAGGTACAAATAAAAAATAAATAATAAATAATAATAAATAACGCACACACTCAACATAGCCCCGCAGTAGGGAAACCCTGTGTCGCGGGTTCCATGGACACACATATAGACAGCCACAAATTACACCCAAACTCACGAGAGAAATAAATGTAGGCCATACAATCATTTCTCCCGGCCCGGGAATCGAACCTGGAACCTCTGCGTGGCAGTCCGGCATGGTAACCGTTCGGCCACGGAGGCAGTTAGAAATAGAACGAGTAAGTACATTTAGAGGATGCTATCAGTACTTGTGTGCTTAGATTATTGGTACTATACAATAGAATTTCCAAAATATGATATAATACAGTCTAATTTTAGGATATGAGAACTTATACAGTATCAAAATAAAAATTTAAAATTATAAAAACGGTAATGAATTGGTAACGTAATTTATTTATTTATTTTATTTAGACATTTATTTCATGCCACATGACCCATATAATATATACCTTAAGGACTAACATACATACAATATAATATAACAAGAAAATAAACTATCAACGAATCTATACGCATTGCACTTGTCGGCGACGTGTGGCGCAATCTGGTGTCAGGTAACCGGCCGCGCAATCGCCGACATATGACACCCTTCGGCTAAAACTCTTCCTTCATGAAGGTCGACAGATGTTCGGTCGGCGCTCTCACCACAAACGAATTAAAATTTACGTTGTGGCGGAACTCCACATTTATTTACGAACGCGATTCGCTAATAAACCAATATATGGTTTAAATGTTCGGTTACTGTCTAACACAACGCCTAGGTATTTAATTTCGTTTGTTTTCTCTAGATGAGGGCAAAAACAGGGGATGTTGGAACATTGGGGGAGTGAGCAGTGATAATATGCTTGGTGGGATCTGGAGGGTGACGATTAATTATTGAGAAGGTTATATATTTTGTTTTTCAAATATTTAAAGTGAGCAGGTTATAATTTCAACCAGGTTGAGTCCCTATCCAACCCTATCTGTGCGGAGGTGAATACCTCATCCCAGGTATCTCCAGAAAAGTATAGACTGGTATCATCGGCAAAAGCCGTTATATGACCTCCAGGAATAGGCAAACTGCACAGGTCGTTTACGTAGACTAGAAATAGGGTGGGTCCCACTATGCTGCCCTGGGGAATTCCGTAGCAGATGAAGAGGTCATCACTAGTGTAATGATCCATGATAACACGTTGGGTTCTGCCAGTGAGGTAACTTTGGAAAAGTGAAAGTTGAGTGCCGCGTATCCCAAGTGATTTTAATATGGATAATAAAATAGGATATGACACAGTATCGAACGCTTCATTTAGATCAAGGATAATGGCCCAACTTTTCTTTCTATAATTAAGGTCTTGAACAATCGTGTCGGTAAAATTAAGTACTGCTTGATCAGTGGATATTCCCATCCGGAAACCGTATTGGTTATCGCTCAACTGGCCCTTACTTTCAAGATAGTTTGTTAGTCGATTGTTAAGCAATCTTTCAAGGGCCTTAGATAGGGCGGGTAACACTGAAATTGGGCGGTAGTTATTAACCTCTTTAAGGTCTCTAAATATGGTGAACAAGACCTATTTAAAAGATTTCGGGAACAAACCTGTGGACAGCGACATGTTGCAAATATGAGTTAAGGGAGGAGCTATTATATTGTCGTTGGGAATGTTCACCTATCCCACGGCGCCAACTCAACCGGCGAGAGGTAAACCCGGAAGGTAGGCCCTCCAGTCTGGAGGGAGAGTCCCCACATAACCCCAGAGTGTCCCTGGGCTCAGGGGTATCTACAAAGATTCCCCCCCGTCAAAAAAGGAGCTATTACTGTAGGCTTTAATAAGTTTGGTGGAAATACCGTCCCAGCCCACCGCAATTCACTTCACTTTTCAGCGACATGTTTACTCTAAGGACTTCTTGTTTGTCCGTGGGTAGAAGGACAAATGAGTGAGGGTTTGACGGGGCAGGTGAAGCTTGAGATGTTTGACAAATGTTCTTATTTTCCGCTAATATTTTCCCGACAGTACCAAAAAAGGCATTAACATGCTTAACAGATTCAAAAGGTGTGGTTTTGGTAAGAAAGACGTGACGGGCATCGCACTTACCTTTATTCAATTGTGCTACATCCTTTATTGCCAACCAGAGTTTTTTATTATCAGATCCAGCTTCATAGAATTTAGATTTTTCATAAGATCTTTTGATTGACTTTAGCAATTTATTACAGAAGTTTCTATAGCGCTTATAGGTTGTTAATAGAGAAAAATTATTAGGATTTTGTTTTAATTACTTATACATATTGTCTCTGTTTCTTATGCATCGCAAAAGACTTGGAGTCATCCAAGGTTTTATAGTTCTGAGGCAGTGGAGTAAAGATACGGAAATAGAATTATAGGCGCTAGATGAGGATTCGGTACCCAATAGGGCCAATTTAGGAAACAAACGTTTGTAATTGGAAATGAAAGTAGTTTTCGAATCTTAATCGCGTACATTTTTTTTTTAAACAAAGCAACATTGCGGATCCTTTACTGGGCTCATGATCATGGCAGACTGGTGGACAGTTGATTAATTTTTATGCAATTTCGAATAAAATAGTTTAATTTCCTATGTGTAACAATCGCAAAAACCTATGAACTCGAAACTTTTCAAATATGGTCTTGATTATTCAAGGTAGACTTCTTCTGCTTCAGTTGGTAGAGATGAACCAAACAAACACAGTAAGCCCTTTATTATTATTTTGGATACCATTTCCGATTTTCGAATCTCCCATAGCCTAAAATATTAATTTAGAATTTTTAAATGGGAGAAGAGGTATGGCAATGCCACAGTTGGTCGGGAGTTAGTAGCCTGTGTCCAAAAACCGCCAAAATTTACTTCTTTCTGCATTTGGGCTGAAAACGACAGGCCACAAAAATCCTACCGATCATCTCGGTGAAATTAACCCATTTACGGCCAAAACAATTCGAGTTACTTTGTGGAGGAGACCACATCTCAGAGGTCGATAACCTCGCCAATTGCCAATTGCCAATTGTTTTCGGCGTTTGTCGGTTTCAGCTTTCACGAAACCCTCATTATGTGGTAATGCCCAAAAGAAATTCCCTCAACTGCGAGCGATCTAATATCATAAATTCAGGTTATTCGCATAAATAGTCCTGTCAGTGAGAGCGGACCGGTCTCAGTACATTTTAGCGCGATCGTTTTCAAGTGGTGACTCCGCTGAATACTTGTGACAAAGCATACTCTGTTGCGCAAATCCGTACTTCAGAGTGAGCTCTTGATATAATATTTTTGGTGCTCGGTCTATGTCTGGGTGCGGTTACTCAGTTGTAGCAAAACTAGAAAAACAATTCACACCACTGTGTAATAAGAACATTTCTGCAAAATGATAACTTTTCACGACAGAGGTTTAAAAATTCTACGAACAAAATTAATCGTAATAAATAAATAATATATTATATACGTAATAAGTAACAATTATATATATATGTGTGTGTGTGTGAGTGTCGTGTAATTCGTAATATTCTTACGACTTTTGTGTGATTAAAATACTATTGACGTACGACCATTAATCATCATCATCATAATTACAATTACCCTGATGTATCCCCCTTTAGGGCAAAGGCCTCCCCATCATCCCTCCACTATGATCACGTGTGGTTTTATTATATTATTGTTAAAAATGGAAGTAAATTATTGCTGTACTAAGTGTAAGTATTATTATTATTGTGAGTATTTTTTTACATTTTAAAGGTTCATTAGCTGGATAATTTTAATACATATTGACCAAGTAAACTCCCAAACGTATTTAAGTAGGTCCAATTTCCACTATATGTTAGCATTCTAACAAGTTTGCGCAGAACTACGCCAAAATTCAAACGAACACGGACTGGAACACGTGTACGTATCAAGCTACTTCCGACCGGTTATTCGACGCTATTTATTTTGTATTTATGTTTACTGGTTATTGTTCCTCTTTTTCTTTCGTTTTTCATTACAGTATTGTGAATATCGTGGTAGTAAAACATCGTGACATTCAATAGAAACTTAAAAATTATAGTAGCATCATAACTTTTTATAAAATAATTTATCGAATTTGGCGCAGGTATATATGAGTTTATGTATTTTTATATAATGATTATCAATACAATTTTGATTTTTTTTATGGTACTAAGTGACAGAACAAACAAGTCATGCGCTAGGCGGTAAACGACACGCCTATACTTGGCAGTTGCAGTGCCCCTAGGAGCTTTAAATCGCAAAGATCTGAGGGGCACTGCCACTGCGCCCATTACGCTGAGACATAATTGACAAGTTCCATGTGCCTGCATTAATCACTTAATCGCATTCTACTATCTACTACGTATCAGAATCTGCTCTGAAGCCGGATATTACTCTTCCCTGCTTACTTATTTATACTTATGTATATTATGTACTATACTTCAATATTTAAGCTACTTATATAATAATGTACATGTATCGTAACTGTGTGATGTACCATTTTCTTGGGACTTAGTCGACACTGAAACAGGAAAGACTGAAAATCAGCGTCCCTCTCGCCCGAGATGAACATTTTGCCGAGTCGTATCCTTTTTCTCTTTTGCACCATTATGCACACTTACTAACTTAAAATTACTCACTTATTTTAATGTTAAGTATTAGATTTAAGTGTGTATTCTTTCTTTATTACACACTTATATAACGACAAATTGTTACGTAACACTTATCAATTCTTCTTGTCTGTCCTTCTTAATGTTACTGTAAAAATACTGGTAAAAGTATTTTATAATCGCGTTTGAGTTATATGGTTTTTAAAATACTATATTGGTACAAGAATAAATCAATGTTTGACATAATTAGGGTTAGATTCGTACTAAACCAGCAAAGAAGACGATTATGTTTTACAATACACTAAAAATAAACTTTGGTTCTAGATGAATTCTGCGAGGAATACCCCCACAACCTGCTGCCAACACCAGGCTACTGGGTCGAGTGCTCACGACAGAAGATTGCCACCGACACCATCTGGGATGAATCCGAGTCCGAACACGACAGTGGACCTGACCGGGACAACGCGGACAATGGTAAGTATAATTTGAACTTTAGAGCATTCGTCCTGTTAATATATTGTATTTATTTTGTGGTCGGTGATACCATAGAGGAAGTATACATACTTGCGTACACGCAACTGGATACCACGTACGCCAATTAAACTTTTGATATCATAAGTATGCATACGAAACTCACGTGATAGATGAAAATGTAAATGGTACGCCGGACCTGATTTGGTTGCATTGTAGCATATTATCAAAAATAACATAAAAAAACAACTAAACATCCTTTTAATCAATATTTAGTTAAGCATTATTTAAGATTTTAAGCACTATTTAACTGTCTATTACCTATAAAAACTATTAATACTGCTTAGTTAAGTAATGTTTAATGAAGATGAAAAATGAAATGAAAAATAATTACCGTGGCAACATCAGAAGATTAAACCATTAAAACAAGGGGTTAACCAAGGGGTTCCTAGGGTGTTTAAGTTCACAGCTATTTAAACAACAAATTAATCAATCATTTATAAAACAAATCTATGTTTATGGGGTAAGAATTTTTTAAAACATTGCTTAAAGCGTTATTTAAAGTTAAATGATGTTTATAAATAAGGCTGTAAGACGTTAATTATACATAGGTACCTTATTATAATTGAAAAATAACTAAATTATAAAACGATTACCCTTTAAGTATGTGAAACTGTAGAACACGCCTTTAGGGGAGTCACGGGTCATTAAAAAAACATTAACGGCTAAATTGAGCGGAATCATATCACAAGTGTGCCTTAACTTCATTTTCTCGAATTTTCACTATCTACAGTTTTTGCAGTGTTATGTAAATTTAAGCAATCTCATAAAAAAGGAAAGCAATATACATATGTACATTTACAAATTTTGAATATTAATCTTGCCTTCGGCGTCTACCTGTTCCCGAGTCGATGTTCCATAATGCAGAGACGATGACATCTAACTGATAAGGTTTTTATATACGTTTATTCATATATATATGAATAGTATACTATTACGCCTGTTTCCCACAGGAGTAGGCAGAGATTGTGGACCTCCAATCGTTACACTAATTAATGACGTCTTCACAAGTTTTCTTTTTGTGGCAATACAATATTCTTCTTCTTCTTCTTCTTCTCCAACCATATGTGAAAACTTCTTTCATATCTCGCGAGTTTTTTCCCATGCGTCTTGCGTCTTTTTTGAGCGCACTGCTTCCATTTCAATATTCTTTGAAAGATTGAGTACTATTATAAAACTATTAGGTATTTTACGATACTTTTACGATATTCATATCAAAGAAAAGATATTAAAAAATCACTAGTACATTAACAAAGTACCGAAGCCGGGTATAAAATATTCCACAAAGATATTTTCGCGATGGAAAATTTTCTAAGCCTATTACGAGGAAGGGAGAATTATTACCTGCGAGAAAATGAAGCCTCTTAGAGCACACAACGGAACAAAAATGTTTACTGCTTGTAGAATTATTTGTCAGTGAACCTACCACCACCACATCAGATAATTTAACACATTCACAGTCCGTGATTACACCTGGAGTCGCAAATTGGCTTCAACCATAAGTGCACGCAAACCCATGGAGTCGCAACCTCGCAACTACATACTACTTTACGTCAAATATTTTGGTTGGACTTACAGATCAAATCCCTGATTTTTTTCAAGTTAGAGTATCCATAATGTTTTATAGGTGTAATGTTTCAAAAATAAGAAATAAATTTATTTATATTATATATAATGTGAGTGTAAAAGACAAAACCAACATTGTTTCACACAAATTCCGGTGGACTTACGGGGTAGATTTTAGCCTTATACTGGACTGGGGACTGTGAACGTGTTAAATGCACTGCTAGACATGAACCTCGTCAAATCGGGGATGTTATAGCTCACGAAATCTGGCGAATAGTAATAAAAGCTTCAATCTATTGCACAAGGATACACTGCAATCCGATCAGTTACAATTCGATATTGAGTCAGAAATCTCTGCTGGCCTTATCCTGTAATCACGTAACTTTAAAATCCATTCTGTCCAACTGCCTCTGTGGCCGAACGGTTACCATGCAAGAAGTATTTGTACGCCTACATTTATTTCTCTCGTGAGTTTGGGTGTAATTTGTGGTTGTCTGTGTTCATGGCACCCGCGACACAGGGTTTCCCGTTTTTATTGTAAAGTTTATACTTTCATATTTAATCCTATTAATTCCCAAGGCCAATTAAATGTTTTGATAACTGTTTTTATAAAAAAATAAGTGGGCATTTGACCTCCATCTCACCTGATGAAAAGCGGCGATAAAGTCGACGATGGAGCATGTACACCTAAATAATGCCAAATTCACTCTCGCCTTAAAAAGGCCCAGGTTTATGGCGTTCAGAAAATAAGTCTGCGGACAGGGAATTCCAATCCATAGCCGTTCGCCATATAAATGTAGAAGCGTGACGCTTTGGAATATCCACGACATTGAAGTGGAATCCCAGAATACACTACATATAAACTACAGAATAGGTTTCGAATATTTTACAGTTTGACATTTCATTCTGAACCTGATATTGATTTTAAAATTCTGCTGTTGAATCTCTATATGGAAATATTTGCGTTGTACAATACACGTGGACAAGGTATTCGAAATTACTACCTCTTGTAAAATTCTCTTTTACCTTAAAACGTAGACGTTCATCTTTACCCAATAAAAGCCATTTTAATAAAAATCTAAGTCCTATTTATGTCAAGAGATACGATGATTCTTTTCTTGTCATATTAGCGTCGCGATAAGATGAAATGTAATATTCTCGGCACCCCGCCGCCTCTCTGCTGCTGCCCGGACTGTTCCAATACCTGAATTTCTCCTATTATATAAGGGGGCACATAAGCGTCGAATAAACTCGGAAAAATCAGGGCACTTTTCAATCTCCTACATCATTGCCATGCATTAGACCAAAAGCCGGAAATTCATCTAATCGATAAATATTCCTTGAAAATAAAGATTTAAAGGCAAAGTACTCATTCAATTCAATGAACGCAAAATCAAGGACCGAAAGAACGCCAGTACGCCGTACATAAAATTCCACAACTTTTTACAGTGGTCTTTTTGATGAGATTGAATATAAATATTATTATTAATGCTTGAAGGAGATTTCTAGTTTGGACCAATGATAAAAACCAGTCAAGTGCAATCGGTGCTTAATGTAGGTATTTTTATGAGCTAAGTAAGAAATAACGTATTTCCTTACTAAATGAATGATATACTAATAGAGCTCCTTGTGAAAGAGTTCGTCCGGGAGAAGTACTGCCACCTTACGTATTTCTACCGCCAAGCAGTAATGTCAGCATTACTGTGTTCTGGTTTTGAAGGGTAAGGATGCTGGTGAAATTACAAGTACATAGCACTTGTCAACTTATGTCTCAGGGTGTCAGGTGCATTGGCAGTGCCCCTCAGATCTTTGCGAAGTTAAAGCTCTGAGTGGCACTGCAACTGTTATGGGCAGGCGTATAGCTTACCATCAGACGCACGACTTGTTCGTCCCGTCACTTGATATTATAAAAAAGAAAACTTATTTTGAAAATCAAACTGTAGCTTTCAATACTATGCTACTTTAGATTTTACATTTTTGATTCTCGCCTCTCCTATGGCCTAAAAGACACATTTTTATTTTTAAACGGGAGAAGCGATATTCCCCGGCAATAGCATAATCAGCCAATTTCTGGACATGTGCAACCCTATATTACTACGACCAACAATTGATCTAAATAAATCTCTAAATGCAGATTCTTCAATCCACTATCGACGGGGCCCAAGTCTACGATATACTGGCAAAAACCTCTTCAGGAAAAGAGTATTTGTCATAAGCACGCCGCACGCTTGGCAGGCTAGTTGGCGATCGCAGTACAGCTGCAATTTAATAGGTAATCAGATAGACACTACCGCACAAATGGCCAGATTCTCCTGATTTTGTGTTTGTCATGTGTTTGTTTCTGTAGTTGCATATATTGAATGGAATTAAATTTATTCGTGGATGTAGCACGTGATTATTTGAGTAATGGTATGTCCGTTAACGATCTATCTGAACGGCACAATGTTACTAACAAACAATGTACAAATATATTTGCGACCGCACTACCAAGAAGATATAACTTTTGAAGAATATCGATGTGGCAGTTGGATGATAGATCATGCCCCACGGGGCTATCCGTCACGTGGCGCCACTGATTGTTTACACCTCGAAAGTTAAAATAATAACTTCCTTGTTTACTATGCCTTGATCGAAAAATAGCGTGTTATATGATCATTTTAATTAGGTAACCAAACTTAAGAATTCTCTGTATTGCAATTCTTAAGGTACGCTATTCAAGGAGTTTCTCTTTAATCTAATTCCTGATTAATAACAATAAATACATCTTGACCTTTACTTGACTGTAAATTTTCTTTTTTTTTTATGTCAGATAGGCTTGTTTGTCCATTCTCACCTGATGTAAAGTGAAACCTGTGATGTGATGTAAAGTGGGACCTGTAAAAGGCCCGAAACGTCGGTTTGTTTAAAAAAACAAATATACGCGATTTAAATCCGGAAAAATAGTTTCAATTCCTATGTGTAACAATCGCGAAAACCTAAGAACTCGATAAGAGAATATTTATTTGGAAGAATTATCAAAAATTTGCAACTCAGTGGAAATTGCATATGGCCAAAGGCTGGACGCCATAGTGCCAAAATATAAGAGAAAAAAAAAAGAAAGACATGTACTATCCTGGGAGCGTTCAAGCACTATTAACCGATTGTGTTCAAAATGAGAATAATTATAATTTTTTAGTAATTTTATTATTGATTGTACTTATTACCCCTTCGGTACAATTGGTCTACTTTTCCGATCGGATGACTTGTTTTTCCCGATTCGTCTATATTACGTTGTATTGTAATATCGGCAACTTTTCAGTCATACCTTGCAATTTGTCGTAAGACAAAATTACATATCATGTCAAGTCATTATCATTGAAATGAATAAGGTGAGTTTG